ATTATTTGTTTTTTACTCAAATTACCAGAAAGAAACTCAAAGACAACAGGGATCTTGTCTGTTTTGTTCATTGCTATATCCCCAGGGACTAGAAAATGCCTGGCACAAAGGAGCTAGATAAATATGTATTGAATGATCCATTTATCAGTGGGTTCAGACATATGGGCATGGTTGTGGGGAAAGGGAACACGATGAACCAAATATGGTTGTTATTTTCCATACCATCCAGTTAAGTTATAAGAACAGATATAGAAACATATTTCTCTACACAATTGGACTGTAAAGAAGGAATAGACATTGAATTAGACAGAATACATACATTCAATTTACATAAGCTAGGGGAGCCTGAGTGGCTCAGATGGTTAAGCATCTGCCTTTGGCTCAGGTCATGATCTCCAGGTCCTGGGATCGAGTCCTGCATCGGGCTCCCTGCTCAGTAGGAAGCCTGCTTCTCCCTCTCCCATTTCCCCTGCTTGTGGTCTCTCTGTCTCTCTCCCTCTCAAATGAATAAATAAAATCTTTAAATAAATAAATAAATAAATTTACATAAGCTAATTAGCTATCACAGGCTAAGTGTGAAATGATGACATAGATAGTGAGTTGTAGATATATATCTGAAGAGAAATAAGTATAGTGAACTGAGATTGTCCAGGTTTATCAAAAGAGGCATGGTCTTGAGGGGAGGATTGAATTAGCAGGAAAGAAGAGCTTTAGGATCAATGGAATAAGGACTGGCAATGGAAAATGATATATTTAGTGAGGAAATGAGCAGACCATTTATGAAGGAAGTTCTGGACAGTAAGGTTGAGAAAATGAGCCAGACCTAGACTCAGAGCTCAGCCACCAATTGTGTGACACTGAGCAAGAATGGTATCTAACCTCCTTATTTATACATTGGTAATAATAGCTACATTTTGCTTCTTCACAAGGTTTCATGGGGGATCAAATGAGTCAAAATGATTCTGAATAGGTATGCAGACATAAGCATTAAGAAATAGTATGATACAAGTTTATGGTTTAAATGAGGAAAAAATGTTGGAAGGCAATATATCCAAATTCACTGCACTTGCATTAAAATGATATGGCTATGAGTGATCTTTCTTCCTCTAAATTTCTCTATATTCCAAATTATCATTGAAGAGCATATATTAATTAAAAATTCATTTCATTCAACAAATGAACTATACTAGGTGTTGAGAAAATAAGAATGAATAAATGAAATAAAATTTGAGCTTACAAGGAGTTTAGGTCTTACTAGGCAGAGACAGACACAAAATAATGCAGATACATAAGATAATTTCAGGTAATTGGTGCTGTGATAATGGTATATTGATGGAGTAGAATGTTGCTGCTAGATAGAGGAGTCAGGGGAAGTCTCTACGAGTAGAGCAGAGACCTAAATAATGAATAGATGCCAAGACATAGATGCTGAGCTGGGAAGAAAATGTAAGCAGTGGGTCAAGCAGCTGCAAAGGCCATAAGCAGAATGAGCTGCTTGTGTTCAAAGAGCAGAAGGAAAGCCAGTGTGGCTGAGACATAGTGAGGAAGGAGGGTGGCGAAAGTGAAGTCACCAGATACACAAGGTCACATCATGAATGACCTTTGAAACCATGGTAAGAAATTGGATTTTATTCTCAGTGTACTGATAAGACATTGGGATATTTCTATGACAAAGGAGGCAAGAACATAAAATAGGAAAAAGACAGCCTCTTCAACAAAGAATGTTGGAAAAACTGAACAGCTACTTGCATAAGAAGGAAACTGGACCATTTTCTTACACCATACACAAAAATAAACTCAAAATGGTTGAAAGACCTAAATGTGAGACCTGAAAAAATAAAATTCCTAGAAGAAAACATAGGCAGCAATTTGTTTGACATCACTGTAGAAACATTTTTCCAGATATGTCTCCCCTGGGAAAGGAAATAAAAGCAAAATTAAACTATTGGGACTATACCAAAATAAAATGCTTCTGCACAGTGAAAGAAACCATCAAGAAAACAAAAAGACAATCCACTGAATACGAGAAGATATTTGCAAGTGATATACCCAATAAGGGTGTGTGTGTGTGTGTGTGTGTGTGTGTGTGAAGAACTTGTAAAATTCCACACCAAAAAAAAAAAAATCCAATTAAAAATGGGCAGAAGACATGAGCAGACATTTCTCCAAAGATGATATACAGATGGCCAACAAACACATGAAAAGATGCTCAACGTCACTCATCATCAGGGAAATGCAAATCAAAACTACAATGAGGTACTAGTTCACACCTGTCAGAATGACTAAAATCAAAAACACAAGAAACAACAAGGGTTGGCAAAGATGTGGAGTGAAAGGAATCCTCATGCACTGTTGTGGGAATGTAATTTTGTGCAGCCACTGTGGAAAACAGTATGGAGCTTCCTCAAAAAATTAAAAATAGAGTTACCATTGATCCAGTAACTCCACTACTGGTATTTACCCAAAGAATACAAAAACACAAATTAGAAAAGATACATGTATCCCAATGTTTATTATTTACAATAGCCAAGATATGGAAGCAACCCAAGTGTCCATCAATAGATGAATGGGTAAAGAAGATGTGGTATGTGTGTATGTATATTTATATATACATATATACATGTACATGTATATATACACACATTTTTATACACACACATATATATAAATACTACTATGGAATATTAGTTGGACATAAAAAAAGAATGAAATCTTGCCATTTGCAACAACATGGATGGACCTAGAGGATATAATGCTAAGTGAAATAAATCAGTCTAAGAAAGACAAATATGGTATGATTTTGTTCATATGTGGAATTTAAGTAACAAAACAAATGAACAAAGAAAAAAAGAGACAAACAGAAAAGCGGACTCTTAAACACAGAGAACAAACTGGTAGTTGCCAAAGGGGAGGTAGGCAAAGTGGACTAGGGGATGGGTGAAATAGATACAAAGGACTAAGAGCACACTTACGGAGATCAGCACTGAATAATGTATAGAACTGTTGAATTATATTGTATGCCTGAAACTATTATAATACTGTATGTTAATTATACTTAAGAAAAAAAATAATAAATAAAAGATACTGGGATATTTTTAGCAGAGAAATGAGTGATCTGATTTATATTTTTGAATAATATTTTATATATGTATATATATACATGTGTATATGTGTATATACACATACATATATGTATATATTTATATATTAATATATAAAGTATATATTTATATATAACACGTATAAATTGAAATTTAACTGCTAGATGATAAAATGAATTTCAATGTGATTTTGTGTCATTACATGATCTGCTGAGGCCTAATTAATGGTTCTAATTAATTAAAATGATGCCATTATATCATATATGGCCTTTCCAGCATTAGATATTAGAAAAGGAGGAGCATTTGACATCATCTCCCCAAGCTTTTACTAGTATGTTAGATAATTGGTAACATAATTAAATAGCATTTATTGAGTTCTGCATAATGGGGTGAAGTTAAACTGTTGTTTGAAAACACCAGTATTCTGAATGTCAATTCTCATTCCATGATTAATTTGCTACGTTATTTTCTTCTGCATTTTATTTCCTGAAAAATAAGAAGGAAGAATGGTACATGTGAAAAATAGATGTTAAGGAGAAAATTTGCAAATGTAGAGCTATGCAGATTTTATCACAGAGTATTTCAAAATTACTCTTTGTCTTTTTCTTCCTGGGTGACATTTCTAATAAATAATGAGCTGAGCTCTCTTGAATGAAGAGATCTGTGGTAGAATGACTTTGGCACATAGAGAAGCACGTTAACTACCTTAAGTCCCCAAAGCTTTATCACTGACTTCATAATTCCTTTGGTGCACTGCGCAGAATCAGCTCCCAGAAGTACCCAGGCCCCATGGAGGAGCAGGCCCTCTTCCTCCAGCCTTTCCATGCCTGAAACAATAGATTTATGAAATACTCTGTACTTTCATTCCTGCCCAGAAAGTGGGATATTATCTCACGGAAACACATATTAATAGAACTTGGATGTCAGTTTCAAAGAACCCACTTCTGCCTTCAGTGTCTGCAAAAATAAACACTGATGGCAGACAGCATGAAGTGTACCCCCATCTCCACAGATGGCATTTATATCCACATGGCTTGCTTTCTCCAGAATGAAGGTCTGACAGCCATCAACCTTACTCGTTCCCCTATTCCCTTTCCATCACAAATAAGGTTTTTCAAAAAGTCTATCAGGGCCTTATCCTATCAAAGTCTTTGTTGTTTTTGAAAATGATTATCGTTTCTTGAGCACTGAGAAAGAAGCATCAAAAACCAAAACCACTTTTGACAGTTCTCAGTGGAATAAAAGTGATAGGACACCATCCCCTACATTTTCATCCTCAAAAATGATCTCTTCTGAAAGAAAATCATATAATTTTCAAGGAGCTGTGATTTTTCTTCCTCCTTTGAAGAAGCCATGCATTTCCAACAGATATTTCATATAGAATCCATATCAAAATCTTCAGGGGAATTTAGGAGGAAAAGTAAATAGCCTTCAGCTTCTGCCCTTGGGCAGATTGGAGCCTTACTGTGTTAGGAAGGACAAACAGAATTGAAGTTACTTAAGAGTCTCTAGAAGTAATATGTGGTTTTAGAATTAAGCTATTGAATCAGACAGCCCTGTGTTCAAATCCTGCCCTTACCCTTATTCCTTTCCACCTGTGAGACATACTTATCTCCAGGAACCTTAGAAATCTCTGCAAAACAAATATAATATTAATAATCATCTCCTAAGGATGCTGTGAGGTTGAATGAGATGATGAATCATGCATATAAAGTATTTAGCATGGTACCAGAGCCACAAATAAGTACTTAAAAAGCAGTAGCTATTATTTCTTGGTAAACACTAGTAAGAAGAAGAATTATTATATAAAACAAGTTTTTAAGTGGCCTTTGAGAATTATATTACAAACTTATATTCACAAATTGTAAATATGGACTATGTTTTCATCTTTCTTAATAGGCGTTTTAAATTGTTGTATGGCATACAATGTTGGTCTCCTAGAAGCAAAGATATTTTCCGGTCCTTCAAGTGAACAGTTTGGCTATGCAGTGCAGCAGTTTATAAATCCAAAAGGCAACTGGTAAGAATATTCTTTTTATGATTTAAATAAAAATACTAAATAAATTTAATATTTAACTCTAATAGCTTGTTCAAATTGGTACATGAATGTATTATTAATAGATAGCCCTCAAATATCCTTAAATGAAGAATTTGTCCTTGAGAGTTGATAACTTTCAGATTGATAATTAATGAGATGGTGTAATGGTACTTTTTTTTTTAAAGATTTTTTATTTATTTGACAGAGAGAGACAGCGAGAGCAGGAACACAAGCAGGGGGAGTGGGAGAGGGAGAAGCAGGCCTCCCGCCGAGCAGGGAGCCCGATGTGGGACTCGATCCCAGGACCCCAGGATCATGACCTGAGCCGAAGGCAGACGCTTAACGACTGAGCCACCCAGGCGCCCTGTAATGGTACTTTTTAAAAACCTAGATAGAGGGGTGCCTGGATGGCTCAGTCGTTAAGCGTCTGCCTTGGGCTCGGGTCATGATCCCAGTGTCCTGGGATCAAGGCCCGCGTCGGAGCCTGCTTCTCCCTCTCCCACCCCCCCTGCTTGTGTTCCTGCTCTCGCTATCTCTCTCTCTCTCTGTCAAATAAATAAATAAAATCTTTAAAAAAAAAACCTAGATAGAAAACTTTTCCTAAATATTCCATAGTAAATTCATAGTAGCAGTTTTGACCATTTAATTAACAGATGAAAGGAGGGAAGGAGGAAGAAAGGGATAGATAGGTGGGTGGATGGATAGATAGGTAGATAAGTAGATGATAGATAGATAGATAGATAGATAGATAGATAGATAGATAGATAGATAGATACAGTTGTCTTCATCTCTTATTCTGTAAACTGGTATCCACCATTGAGCTTTGTAAATGGTCAGCTAGCTGATGCTGCCTCTTGGCCATTTCTAGATTTCTAGACTTTCTCCCTAAATTTTTTCCTTCAGCAAGGCTTTATCTACTGGCTTCATTCTAAGTCACCCTTCCCTCCACTGTGTGGCACAGGACCCTCACAAGCCTTTGTGCAAAATTATAAAGTTGCCTTTCTCTAGTGCATCTGCATCATTTGTTTCTGCATGAAAGTGCCCCCAGTTTTTTGATGCTGTTTAATGGTTACATTTAAACACACTACCTTCATGGATATGGAAATATAGACTCCCATTGCTGGCTTAAATTTCCCATAAAAATATTGAAAATCAATGCAGGGTTCATCTCCCCCTCCAATGCAGGGGTATTCAGATAATTCTGAAAGTTGTCTTTAAGTAGAACTGTAGCTCCTCTCTTGCCAGTGTTGATGTTCACTGGTCACAAGAGTCTTATCACTGGAACCTTAACTCCCTGTTCCAGCAGAAGGTTCCAGACTTACCCCTGGAGCTTCCAATCTGGATCCTTTAGAGTTCTTTCCAACGATTGAATAGGCTATTGTTGGCTTATCAAGTAAGAGCTATAATTAATAATCTTTTTTTCTGTGAGAACTTATGTATGATGCTCAAAAAATTAAATTCAAAGACACATTTAAAATCCAAATTATTCACATTTTGGAGCATCCCCATCTGTGTGATAAAGAAACGAAATGAAAGTATCACTCAAGAGGGTATTGTGTTTCAGAAGGCATCTTGAAGGAGGTGAATCATGAGGTGGGTCTTAAGGGGAGGAGATGAATAGTCAGGAGAAAAGCATTAACTAATATGAGGAGACTTGGAAAGTAAGATACACTGCAGTTTGTCAGTCATCTGGAAGGATAAGAATGATCTGGTTGAAAACCCAAAGTGTAGCAATTATTGACATCATTTGGGATATGAGAGGGCATCTCTAGCAATTATATTATTATGCTTTGATAACAATAAACTGTAGTCAAAAGGCTAGAAAGATGTTATGGTTGGTATAGTTTGACCTTGGAATCTAGAAGATGAAGTTGCTGATGACCCACAATTTTTTATGTCCAGCCCCGATTCTTTCCTGAACTGTAGACACCCATAAGAACCATCACTACATGAATGCCTACTAGACATACCAAGCTTAACACAGCAAACTTAAACAAATACCTGATTTTTTGCACCAGCTGATGAGACCAAAAATCCTCGACTCCTCTTTTCCTGTCATGCCCCCCCATATCTCATCCATTAGCCGGTCCTGTTGACGCCACCACCAAATTACATGTGATAACAGACCATTGGTTTCCCCCAACTTCCCTGCAGCCCCTGCTCAAAGCCAATGAGCCCTTGTGGGTCCTGCGGCAACCACTTCTCACCCCGCCCCCTGCTTCCCTTCTTACCCCTCGGGGCAGCCTTGTGGACTATTAAATACATGATTCAAACAATGTTACTGCCTAGACTAAAGCCCTCTGTGGCTTCCTACTGCAATTAGAATACATTAAAATTCCTTAAAGGATCTTCCATGATCTGGTCTCAGTCTGCCTGTCCCATCTCATAATTCATCCCCTCACCCTTGTGCTCCATGAATTGTGTCTTCTATCTGTCCCTTGAATTACTACGTCAGAGCTTCTGCACATGCCTTTCTCCTGGAAGGAGCAGCCTTCCCAGGACCTTCACTTGGCTGCTCAGTTCCCATTTTTCAGTCTCAGCTCAAGTGTGGCCTCCTCATAGAAAGCTTTCAGAGCGTGTCTTCCAAACAAGGACTGCAGCACACCTCCCAGCCACTCTCCTGCCTTCCATGCTGATTTATTTTCTGGGTAGTAGTTATTAGTATCTGAAATCACCTTTATTTGTTTATATGCTCGTTGTCTGTCTTCTGCCCTGTCTCTGAAGAGAGGCACATTGTTTGTTTCAATGGCATGTAGTCAGAACCCAGAATGTTATGAGTTGATTGACTGAACGAAAGTCCTATTTCCAAATGATTCACCTGAGGTACTCTACAAAGTGAACTGTAGTCGTTTGACTTAAGTGTGAGCCGAACAAGACCTTTGGAGGGACTCTGATGGTCTGCTTCGTAAGTGTGGCCTTACTGAGGATGATCTGCCATCAAGCTTGCAGTTGTTCTTTTTATTTATTTATTTTTTTAAATTTATTTTATTATGTTATGTTAATCACCATACATCATTAGTTTTTGATGTAGTGTTCCATGATTCATTGTTTGCGTATAACACCCAGTGCTCCATGCAGAACGTGCCCTCTTTAATACCCATCACCAGGCTAACCCATCCCCCCACTCCCCTCCCCTCTAGAATCCTCAGTTTGTTTCTCAGAGTCCATAGTCTCTCATGGTTCATCTCCCCCTCCGATTCCCCCCCTTCATTTTTCCCTTCCTACTATCTTCTTTTTTTTTTTTTTAACATATAATGTATTATTTGTTTCAGAGGTACAGGTCTGTGATTCAACAGTCTTACACAATTGTTCTTTTTAAGTGACAAGGTAAAGGTTGCTTTTTCTGGGACAAGGTCAATCTGGGAGAAAGAACCACCATCAGTAGGAGATGCTATTAGAGATGATAAGCCTACCAAGGATCAGAAGGTAACTCAACTACTGGCCACATTGCAGGTTGGAAGTTGAGCAAGACCAACAGGGACAAAATGTTGACAGGAATCTAGGAGGCAGAGTCGTAGGAAAGTGAGAGATAGCCATACATCCTTTCTCTCTCCATGATTCTCTCTGAGCATGCAAAACATTGTTAAAAGATGAGTGTATTAGCAACTTATGATGAAATTCTGGTGCTGATCAGGTTATGTCCAGACCAAGGACAGTAGACATTCCTAAGTCCTATTGTAGCCTTCTCATGACATTCCTGAAAGATGTATAAACACAAGACAATGACTACAGGGGAACAAGGCATCGCTCTATTGTTGGTTGGACTAGTGCTTTTAACCCCAGTGTAGAGCTTTCTGGTAAGGTGTAATGTTAGTCTTACTACCCTCAAGCCTGTCTATAACACCAGCTGGTAAGAGCATACCCCAGCATACAAGAAGAGGAGAAGGGAGAGTACCTGTCTTACCTGAGAGGCTAAATCCTGTGGCAGTGAAAAGCTGGAAGGAAAGAGAACCAAAGCTGGCCTGGCATGCCAGTCTGCCCTTTCACTGTGCTGGCCTTGTTACAGCAAAGAAGCAGAAGAGGCCACGTCATGGACAGCATCTGCTAATCCACTACAGGCTGGACCCTGTGTGAGGTGCAAAGTAGAAAACATCAACCTTACCTTTGAAGGAGTGTGGAGTAGAGTCAAAGCGGAAGACTGATATGCAGAGCTGGCAGAGATGTAATAAAGGCCAGCCCCATGTGGTTAATTGTATGGGTGACCTTTCAGTGTCGTAACTGTATTATCTTACTATTAAGAGCTCATTCTCTCCTCCCAAAGTGTGGGACACTCGAGGGACACCCTGGTCCTTCTCTCATTAGCCTGGCCCTGCCAAGGTGCCTTGCCACAGAGGACAGGGCTGTGGCAGGATCCAGCGGATGGCGTGTCCCCCTGTGAGGACAGGCGGCCCTCACAACTCTCAGGCTCAAGGAAAATAATATGAAACTTGGAATCCAGAATTGCCTATTTGTTTTGACGATTGGCACTGTGCCCTTCTCCACTCCTAATTTATGACAACTGCACAGACATTATGGAAGTAGCAGATGTGGGAAGGCCTGTTTAAACATTAACTTTCCTCCTGATACTAATCAAGTTAACTTTGGGCAAAGAAAGTGGGATTACTGTGAATTCCTTTATAACTGTGAGTCTTTTTCTCTTGGACTTATATAACACACACTCTCTCTCTCTCTCTCTTTCTCTCTCTCTCTCTCACACACACACACACCACACACACACACACACACACACACACACCCTTTTATTTCCTTTACTCTCTTACTGCTTGTTCTGAAGCTGCTGTTTGGATAGTTTTTCCTCTGTTCTCTTTGACTTTCTTTACAGTCTGTATTGTTGAGCCCCAACTCTATCTCTCAGCCCTTTCCTTCCTTCTGACATCTCGCTTATGGCTCTGAGTTTTCTTAAACCACACTCCTTATTTTTCAAGTACAACATCAGCTGTCACATATGTCCCATGTTTCTAAGAATTTATAGGCATAGTTTA